GAGTCATACATCTCTTTCTCAGCCTCAATTTCCCATCTGTAAAGTGGGGATGATAATAGTTTCAAGTCTCACAATGTTGTTGTGAGGATTAAATGATATATGAACCCCTACCACATGGTGGGGCTCATGCACCATGAGCTATTTCTATTGCTAATGGCTTATTAACCCTGCAGCAACCTTGTGAGGTCAGGCTGATCTTGTCCTTTTCGTAAACAAGGACCTAAAAGGGCGGGAAACTGATGTGGCTGAACTTGTGAACTTGGGCCAGCTGAGTGCTCCAATAGCTTTATCCACCCCTGGGCCTCAAGGTCCTACCAGACCTCAGGTTTCTGATCCCACCCTCACAAGGCCCCTCCATGTGGCAAAACCTCTGGAGACTAAGTGGCTTTGATAGGGTGAGTCTGGCTAGAGAACAGCAGTGGAGGGAAGGGCGGAGGCTGGGAACAGCAGGCTGACCTGAGAGATGGAGCCTCACCTCCTACCATTGTTCAGAAGCAGGCCCTCCTGGAACAGGCCCCAGTTTGCCAACATTGTCACAGTTCAGGCCTCCTGGTCTCTAGTGTAGACTGTCACTCCTCTTGAGAGTCTCAGGCCTCTAGGGTTTCCTTGGTGATTCAGCATCCACATTGCTATAACGGATCATGTTAAATTACAGATTTAACCTACCTGCTCCCTTCCTAAAATCTTTCCTGGCTTCCCATCCCCAATCCCCGGGCCTTGGACCAGTTGGTGGCCTGTTAGGAACTGAGCACAAGTCCCTGGTGCCTAAAATATTGGGGACCACTGCCCTATAGATTGACATCCAAATCCTTTTGCCCCCTCCTGCCCCTTCCTGATGTAGTGCCCGCTGCATTTTCACACACTTTGCTCAACCAAATTCCAAACCACTTGAAGCCCCGGCCTTTGCTCATGCTGTTTCCTTTGCCAGGGAGGCCCCGGCCCTCACCCCTCTCCCTGTGTTATCTGATCCACTTGCAATACTCAAATAACATCTCCTCTTAACTATCACATTATCCCAGCTGCCAAAAATAGGGCAGATCCACTATGCATTAATCATGGGACTCACTTTATCTCCCTAAGCCTCAGTAGACTCACCTGTTAAACGGTGGAATACCAAACTCACAAGGTTTTAAAAAGGATTAGATGAAAAATCAAAGGCAGTGCTTCTCACACAGTGGAATTCACAAAGTGGAAGTCCCCTGATTCTTCCCTTGAGAGTTTTGCTGTTAATCACTGTGATAGAACAGAGACTACCGAAGTAACCACTTTGGGGACATAACAAGGATTCCAGACTCTAATGAAGTTCTTAACAGTCTTGACCCACTTCTGGAGATGTGGACTGGGCTTTGCTTTCTTACTTAGGGTAAAGTTCCAGAATCTTTCCTTTGGGTCTATCCCTGGGGCTGCATAGCTTGTACAAGCCGCAGCTTTGGCCTCGCTTCTCCCTGCTGTCCTCCTGCGCCCCCCAGACAACCTCTGGCAGCACCAGTTCTGCTTCATGCTCCCAGAAGACTCTACTGTGACCAAATCATCCTGTCAAGACACTATACAGAGGGCATCTTTATTGAGAGCGTCACCCAGATGGTGACAGTGAACTACTTTGTGCACTTTGTAGAGATTGAGCCTGGGGCCCAGGTGAAGCTTCAGTTCTGGGACACAACTGCCCAAGAAAGGTTCCAGTGAGTGGGGCAGGAGCAGGCCCCTATGCCTTGCCTTCTACACCGCCCATCCCTGATGGGAAAGACCATCCACCAGGAAGGTAAGGGACAAGACAAGGGGCCTTGGATGCCATGTAGAAGAATGGACTCTGGACCAAGAGCACAAGTCTGAGTCCTGGCCTGCCCAGTGACCGAGGACAGGTCACATGACCTCTCTGGACCTGGATGTTCTTACCTATAAAATACGGGGCTGCACTGGGTGACTCTAGGGGACTTTGCTTTTGTAAGACCTTAGTCCAGCTTTGCCTCCTTCCTCCCTGCTTCACCTCACACAGGCACAGGGGACCCTCTCCAAGATAGCTTCCTGGTCTCGTTGGTGTCCTTAAAACTCACCCCTGTTGTTGCAGCCACCCCCTACCCCTGCCTTTTGGTCAATGCTTTCTCAGGAAAACATCTCAAGGCTTATTCTTTTACATTTCGTCCAAATTAACTGTAGCAACTTCCTGGCTAGTCCCCTCCTGCCTGTTTTCAATTCCACTTTCCACACTGGCAGCCAGAGTGAGGCTTATAACATGCAAATATAATCACATCAGTCCTCCACCTAAAACTTCAGTGTACATTACCTGTACAGTGGTTTTCAAACTTTTTGTTTATATTCCTGTTTTCAGCATCAGAAAACTCTTGTCAGATGGAGTCTTTCTCATAGCACTAAAATGGCCAACAATTAAGATACAGCTTGCTCAGGCTGAAGAGGGGTAGGAAGCCCAGAGTCAGCCTGCTAGGCCAACCACACTACACCCTCTACCCCTGCAGGACATACATACACAGTGTACAGCCTCCAAAGGATGTGCACTGGACCACACCACTAAGCCTGAGCACTGTCCAGCCCTCAAGCTTACTGCTTATCTCTGGCCATCCTCTTCTAATGTTGTACCCTGTGTTTTAGAATCATTGATGCATTGACTTCATTACATCTCTGGGCCTTTGCATATGCTGTTCTCATTAGTCACTCATTCTTTGTCTCCACAGGACTTAGACAGTTTAGGGCACAATTAAGAGTGCTGGCTCCACAGTCAGACAGACTTGGCTGAATTTCAGCACCATCACTATTAGCTGTGATCCTGGGTACTTAAAACTCTCTAAGTCTTAGTTACCTCATTGTAAAATGAGATTAAATGAGATGTCGCAAATAGAGTGCTTGACACATACTAGGCATATTCCTTCTTCTCTAGGCTTCTTGGGAAAACACAAGGAACTTATCCATGGAAGGTGCTTAGCACAGCACATGGCACCCAGTAAGCACTCTACAACAACTTTCCCAAAACGCGAGAGCACGAATCCATCACCCTGCTACCCCTCAAGCACCTCAGCATGTGTTAAGTCCTTTGCTCAGCACTGTGCTAGGCTTTGCGGATCAAAGTCAAGTGGGTGTGGTTACTTAGCTTAGTGAGGTAGAGGGCCTCATGCCCAGGGTGGGAGGCTGAGCTGCACCAGAGATGGATGGACACAAGTTAGAAGATCCTTTACAGATCACTTGGTGACACCCCTCTCTCCTGTACCGCCACATCCAGTTGCCAATGCCTGCAAGTGCACCACTTTAAACAACTTCAAACTTACTTCTCTCCACTTAACTACCACCACTCCAATCCAGGCAATAGCCTTGTAACAAATCTCTGCTTCCAAAATTGCCCTCTCTTCCCGCTCTGGTCTACCTGTTCTCCATTGCCTGACCAGTGATCTTTACAAAATGCAAATATGACCACGTCATATTCCTGCTTAAAATCCTTCAGTGATTCCTGTTACTTTCTGCGTAAAGCCCACTCTTTGCTGGTACTGCACAACTTGGCCCGATTCGCCTCACCACACTGCCGCAGGGCTGGAATATATGCAGTTCTTTCACGGAAAGCGATCCTCATCCCTTCAGCTGGCTCCCTCAAATTACGGCTCAACTGGTCAGACCCCCTCCCTCTGGCCCCATGAACTTCTTTGCAGCCTCTGTCTCAAAGATAGTTTTACATTGCTCCCTGTGTTTTTGTTCATCACTGTAGCCCACTGCCAGGCCCAGGCTCGGCTCATGCTTGCTGAGTGAACAAGCCCCTCCATATGCAGATAGGACAGGACTCAGATAAAGTCACTTACCTGTCACATGGCAGATCAAGAATTGAGGTCTCTTGACTCTACCCCAGCTCTTTCCATTAAATTGCCCAACTTCCTTTGTCACCTTCAAGAATATGCCTTTCCTCCATGAAGGATTCGAAACTAATTCTGGGTTCCTTCTTGACTGCTGGGGTCAGTGACTTGCTCCTACTATCGAAACTCGGCTGGAGGCTTTTTGCTATTTGATATTGCCAACAGAACACCTTTTGGGAGCATCACCTGGTGGCATCAGGTTCTGGAGAAAAGTGAAACCCTTCAACATTGTCTTCCTGGTGGTAGGCCATGAGAGTGACCTGGTGGCTGAGTGACAGGTCGTGTTGGAAGAAGAGCTGAAGCTGGCTGCCTCTTTGGGCACTGTGTTGAGAACTCGGCCAAGAGCACAGCCTTTGAGCTGCTTACTCAAGAAATCTATGAGGCTGTGAAGAGAGGGGTCAAACTCAGAGTGGGAGGAAATGAAAAGCAGGGTCCCTTTGCAGGCCAAGCCTCAGGAGACAGAAAGCAGGGCAAGGTGGACGTGCCTGTGCTGGTGGAAAAGCCACGCCCCCTGAAGCCCACAAGGCCTTCACAATCCACAAGGGCTTGATGGACACAGGTCAGGATGATGCTAGGAGCCACTGAAGGTCATAACTCTGAGGTCCCAAGGGGCCTGGTTTCCTCTGCACAATGGTGAACATACCAGGATCAAAGATAGCCAACAACTAAGAACAGACAGGCACCTGCACAGACAGACCTTTGCCCAAAGCTATTGCCATCCCCTCTTCGGGCCCAGGATGAACACAACTTTCTCCAGGAGTTCCAAAAGAACAGTTCAAAACAGGCTTTGCCAAAACCAGGATGCTTCTTCAGTTTGAGGCTCATGAGAGAAGGTCACTCTACCCAATTTTATGCAGAGAAACTAGACTCAAACTTCTACTGATAGTATAGCTTTCCTTGGAGTAAAGTGATGGAAAATCTCTGGGTTTTTTCCTTAATCACAAAAATGAATAACATTGCTGCCACCTGCTGACTAGAGAGTTACATCCAGTTTTGCGTCTCTTCCTAATTCCCTCTGGGATTTCAGAGGCTGTAAACCGTGCGCCCTGTGTCTTTCAATTAATAACTTCTTTATTCTGGAAAAGCAAATGAAAGTCATATTCATATAAACACTGACATTACAAAGTACAGGGAAAAGGGGAAGGGAGAAGGAAACAAAAACCTCTACAAATCCTGCTAATACTGTCTCACCAAACAAGATCATACTGCTTTGTCCCATATTCAATTACTTATAATAATAAACCACAAATAAAATCTTCTCTGGAAGATACATTGCTCCTCTTTGAGACGGCAGGGAAAAGGGGCCGAAAGTAGGGGTAGGAGGCTTTATTCTTTTGGCAGGTCCTCTCAGTCATTATAGATATTGCTGCACTGTTAATAAAAAATATATGCTTCTCTGTAAAGCATTAAAAAAAAAATCCAAGGATGAGATGGCTGAGGTCTCAGCTCAAGTATCTCCAAATACATTGTTGTCCATTTCCTGACCTTTCCATGTGTTATTTCTTGGTCGTTTTCCGGATCAATGCCATTCTCTGAAAGGAGAGAGAAGTAAGCCATTACATGGGTGAGTCAGGAACTTTCTGGGATGTCCACGTGTGGCTAGCAGGCAGCAGGGTCTACATACAGGCTGGACTTCAGGAACCTACAGGCACAGGGCTGCTCAGCAGGATCCTTCTAACCTGAAGACTACAGAGCTCCAAAGATGCTTAGATAGGTCAGTGGATCTATTTCACTGAACGAAAGACCCAAACTGCTCTAGGCTAGCAGAATGGCAAAAAAAAGTTAAAAGCAGAAGGTGCCGGCCAGCTCTTGCCTTTTGGAGACTTATGAGAAAGGCATCAAAACGTGTTTTCTAGGCTTCCCACACACACCCTAATCTCTTCTCTGATGATGGAGAAAAAAGAAAAGGGGCCTTTGTGTCAAGCCTGGAGCTATTTCAAACTTGATGACTTGCAGTGAAGGAAACTGACACTAACGACTTCCACCACAACCCAGCAGGGAAACATTCAGATCATGGGCTTCACATTTTACTATTACTAGCCACAGCTGAATTACTGACTTGCTTGCTCTCTTTGACCAAGAGATTGTCCCGATATTATTTGTTGATAAATACATACATACGTATATACATAAATAGGGCCAAAAAGTAGATAATTTGGGAGCAGAGCCAAAATGACCATCTATCGACTGGAGGTACTCTCTTCTGAAGAACACTATGGTCCTTCGATTCAGGCTATTGACAACTTCCTTGCGGGGCTGGCTTCCTCTGTGAGCTCTGGAAACATAACTATTCCAGAGATCCCACGCAACAGAAAAACAAGGGACACTCAACCAAGACTGCCCAGTTAGTTGTGCCTGTCAAGCTAAGAATACGCTTACTCTTCAAAACAGAGTAGCCAGTTAAATTAAGACAGAAAGGATAACGGCCTTGACAAGGGAGGCCAACACTGCCATTAGACTGACCAATGACAGGAACAACTTGTTTCACAGCAGAAGCGGTGTGGAACTGACCTCTCAGTTCCACAGTAAGAGAGACAGAACAAAGGTTAAGCTAGGACAGAGGCCAGAATGCCTGGCAGAGCAGTCTGGGCTACATATTTCTGCTTTCCTTAACCTGCCCTCAGTCATAGGGCCATATGTGACGTTCAAATCAGCAACAATGAAGGAAGGCTTCATTAAGTTGATGGGCAGGAGCAAGCTCCATCCATAATATATTCCATCCATATTTGGAAAACCTAGATTCAATAGCTTTAAGTGATGCCCATCAGAGTTGAGAGAAAAAACTGAGACCCCCTGTGGGAACAGGGAAGTACCAAGGAAATATCTGATTGATCTCCTGTGGAGTCCCGCTGCCTCTGCCCTTTCAGACTTTAGTCCAGAGTACGGCATGCTGTGGGGAAAGTGATAATTGTAGTGATGGTAGCTATGAGTGCACTCCCCCTGAGACACAGCTCGAGGGATCAGCTGCCCTGGGGCTCCGTAGCTCCTCACCTGTTTGTGAGCTTCTGTGGTGCAAGCTTTTTTGTAGGGTCGGATTTCTTCAGAGCCAAATCCTGGGATCCACATGTTCCACTGGCGCTCTGCAAGGGACAGGCCAGCAGAGAGATGAGACAGGGAAGGCAGCATCAAGGTGCAGTGTGACCCTCAGACAAGGGTCTGGGGGACAAGTCTGAGCAATCAATTGTACTAAGTAACAGTAGTCCTGCAGGGGGACTTACTCCTATGCTCAAAGCTAAAAGGAGAGTAGGAACAGAAAGCCAATCCTAGTTCTGGAGTTAAGAGCCAAGTCCCAGCTCTGCTGCTTTGTTGTGGAGCTGTATGATGTTGAGTCTGTTTCTTCATCTTTTCCATGGTAGTAACAACAGTAACAACAACCTGACAGGGTGGCTGAAAGCATTCAATGACATAATGCCACCCCAGAGTCTGGGATAAAAATATAGTGCAGGGATCCAGAATGAGTCAACCCAAAATGTGCCTCTGGAAAGTAGATTGTTTTGAGCTAAAGGCAACATTAGCTGCAGGCTCAAGAGAAACTTCTGTCTACCTCCCTCACTTAACTACCTAGAAAAATTTGAATTAGAGGCCTTGCCCATAAGAAATTATGAGAGAGAACTTCTTTGGACCTATCTGCAGGACAGGGCAAACTTCTATTTACTAAAGGTCTGCTCTTCTTATTGTTCTGCAATGAGCTTTTGAAGCCCCCAGGGTACCTTACCTCGTCCCTAGCCCAGGATGTCTTACATACCCATTTTCCATTTCTGTCTCTGAACCTCTCATGCATGTGGGGAGCGGGGGGCGGGGGGCTTTGATTCTCTCATGTATGTGGGATTCCCATGTATATGTATGTCTTAAATTTGGTTATTTTCTCTTGCTAATCTTTCTCATGTCGATTTGATTATTAGACCAGCCAGAAGAACCCTGAGGGTAGAGGAAAGTCTCTATAGGTATGGGTATAAATATAGGTATGTCCATGCCACAGCTCCATGTCCTTGTGCCACTGGATATGATTATCCTGTAGGATTGTCACTAGAAGTTCCCACAGGGCAGAACTGTGTTTATTCTACTTTGTCAGTAACTGGCATAGCTGCATGGTCCCTTAAACCCACAAATAGGTGTACTGAACTTTAAGCATTCCCAATATAAAAAATACTGTACAGTTGACCCTTGAACAACGCGAGGGTTAGGGGCACGGACCCTCTACCCCACCCTCCTCACAGTTGAAAATTCATGTCTAATTTTTGACTCCCAAAAAACTTTACTAGTAGCCTACTGTTGACCAAAAGCCTTACTGATAACGTAAACAGTTGATTACATATTTTATACGTTGTATGTATTATATAGTATATCCTTACAATAAAGTAAGCTAGGGTAAAGAAAATGTTAAGAAAATCATAAGGAAGAAAAAATACATTTCCAATACTGTAAGTATTTATTGAAAAAAATCCACATATAAGTGGGCCTGTGCAGTTCAAATCTATATTGTTCAAGGGTCAACTGTACTTACATAAGATTATTTAGGGAATAAGTATCTATTCAAAAGGAATTACATGAGGACTTCTTCATCACACTTCTCTAGAGGATTGAAAACATTTGTTTTGCAAATTGTTATGTCCAGACAGGCAATTACTTAAATCAAATTGAATATTTGTGATTTCATAGCTATACTTTGTATCTAATGCACAGAAAATATTAAGCGAACCAGAGATTCATATTTGGTTTTAAGATAATTTTAAATACAGCTCTCTTCCAACATTTTTTTGAAAATAAAAATGTCTGAAGCCTTCTGCTAATATTTGTTGTCCATACTTGAAAGCGACACTTAAGATTATTTGGGGGAATTAAACTTTACAATCAACACACAGTGAATCAGAACATAGATATGCAAAGTCACTTTAAAAAAAGAGAGTAGCTACCAGGCATGAATGCTCACATGTATGGATGTATAGCAACATATTTAAATATGTATGCATTTACATTTTACTTAATATAACAGCAACATCTTTTAGTGAAGAAAATGTATAGTAAAATGCCTGCTACAAAGCAGTGTTGAGCAAAGTGGTCTATGCACATTATCTCATTTAACTTTCACATTTCTAAAGAAAGTCACTTGGAAGGGGAAGTTATTCAACTATGAAAATATAGATAACCGGGTCAGAAGCAAATACTGGCAGTAGCCACCCAGCTCAGCCAGAAGAGAGGTGTCAAGAGTTTATAGCCCCACTGGCAAAGTCTATCTGTCGAGAGGTGTAGGGTGTGTGTATAGCCGACCTAGATGGCCTGGTGCCAGTTAATATCAGGTTCCCTAATTCCCCATGCTCTGATCCCATGCTCTGTGAGCAATCTTCTGATTATGATTCAGCTTCCATTAGATCTGCTACAGAAGCTGTTCTGGTCATACAGACTTTTAAATATTTTAGTCTCTGTGATAATTAATTTTTTACCCAATAAAGAGTGACATTCCAATTTTATTTTCAATAATTAACATAGAAAATATTTTTAAAAATAGGATCGCTAAACTCTCAAATATCATCTGTTGTGGTTTTGTGCGTGGCAAAATATACATAAAATTTACCATTTTAAGTACTTTTAAGTGTACAGTTCAGTGGCATTAAGCACATTCACACTGCTGTGCAACCATTACCACTATTCATTTCTAAAACTTTTTTCATCATCCCAAACCAAAACTCTGTACATATTAAACAATAACTTCCCATTCCCCCCTCTCTCCAACCCCTGGTAATCATCATTCCACTTTCTGTTTCAATGGATTTATATTGTGGTCGTTTTAAAATATGTCTGCAAAATTTTTTCACAGTCATCTCATTAAGAGGTGAAGTCGATGTTCCCTCCCCTTGAACCTAGACACGCCTTTGTAATTGCCTCAGAGAACAGAATTTAAGAAGTGATGCTGTGTTACTTCGAAGATGGGTTAGAAAAGACCAAGTGGTTATGAGAACTCATTCTTGGAGCTTTTAGGAGCCATGTAAGAAATCCAGCTATCCTGGGACTGCATATGATGAGACCATGTAGCGAGATGACAGAGAAAGAGAGACAGAGAGAAATTTGCACAGTCCTAGCTTTTTGAGAGTTCCTAGTCCAGACATCAGACATGGACATGATGAAGCTCTGTTATGGGTTGAACTGCATCTCCCCCAAAGATATGCTGAAATCCTAATAGTAGACTCTTGAACAATGTGGGGGTTATGGACACCGACTCCAACATGGTCAAAATTCCTCTTATAGCTTAAGTCAGTATTCTGCATACATGATTCCCAACAATGGATAGAAAATACTGTTTTCAATTCACAGTTAGCTGAATCTGCAGTGTAAAATCTGCGGCCAAGTATATATTTATTGAAAAAAATCAGTATAAGTGGACCCATGCAATTCAAACTCATGTTGTAAAGATGAGATCATATAGGAGTATGGTGAGCCCTTAATCCAATATGGTAGGCATCCTATGAGAAGAGAAGAGACACGGAGAAACATACACACACACAAAAGAGAAGGCCATATGAAGACTTAGGTACAGACTGGAGTGACGCTGCTATAAGCCAGAGAATGCCAAGGACTGCTGGCCACCAAGGAATAGGCAAGGAAAGATCCTTCAACACAGGCATTGAAGAAAGTGTAGCCCTGCTGACACCTGGATTTTAGATTTTTGACCTCCAGAATTGTGAGAAAATAAATTTTGTTATTTTAAGCCACTTAGTTTGTGGTACTTTGTTATAGCAGCCTTAGAGACTAATATATCTTCCTTCAACACAATCTGAGCCTCAGATACCACCTGACTTTAATCACATGAGATCCCTAACAAAATTGCCTAGCTAAGCCCAGTCAACTCTCAGACTTATGAACAAAATAAACAACAACAAAAATCAGAGAGAGAGAGAGAGAATATAAATTTTTTATTTTTTACGCCTACAGCACCTGGTTTTCCTGGGCAGTCTCCTATCCAAGTACTAACCAGGCCTGACCTTGCTTAGCTTCTGAGGTCAGATGAGATCGGGCACGTTCAGGGTGGCATAAAAAATTTTTAAATAAAATGTAAAAAATAAAACAACAAAAGAAAAAAAAACAAATAAAAGAAACAACTGTTACTGTTTTAAGCTACTGTCTTGGGTGATTTGTTACACAATAATAGATAATCAAAACGTCTGTCCTCTGCTATCAATACAAGTGATATTAACCAGAAATGTCTTATTTACTCCATCTAGGGAAGAAAGTCTTTCAGTAATTAGTCATGGACTGATCTCCATTGAATCCCTTAACATCTATCTTCTGCCTCATTCACTTGGCCCCACTGTCTTTGTAGTTATAGATTGTTTGCTTTCTTTTTACCACATTGTAACCAGTGCAGAAGGGGGCTTATTCATTTCCAAGGGATTACACTAGATGTGTATCACCCAGAAAAACTCACACTCGAATTTTAGTGTCTATTAAATAGAAAAACAGAATACAAAATTAATTATAAATGTGATTATAATTTTTTGAGGGGGAAATGCATAAATAGGCTAAAAACTAGAAGGGAAACACTATTATTTGGATGGTGAAGAGATGATAGCTACATTTACTAAGCTCTTACTTTGTGCCAGGTCCTACGCTAGTCATTTTACAAACATAATCCATAATTCTCACAATTACCCTGTAAGGAGGATATTATGATTTTTACTTTACAAATGAGAAGCAGGAGCTAAGAGATATTAAGTAGGAAGGATAAGGATAAACTAGAGAGTGGTAAACCCAGTGCCTGGGCTCACTCCCCTTACCATAAATGGATTTCTCTTTTCTATTTAATGCTACTATTGAATGAATACATAAACTCAGAACCCAAAAAGTCTGATCCTGGCATGAAACTTCCTCTGACTACGCTTTCCCTGATGGGAGAAAATGGACCACGTACCTAGATGCAGCTGGACATCCTTCACCTCCAGGGTGCTGGACTTGCGATGCCGAGCAAGCTGGCAGGCTGCTGTCACCACACTCTCAATAAAATCATCAGCAATCTGCAGCAGCATCTGGGGAAGACAAAAGTGGGAGAGAGTAATCATGTCATTGTCAGGATAGGCTCCTGTTGCTGGGACAACTGTGTATCTGCCTGAACCACATACTTAGGCAGGCTTTCTATTAGATCGCCTGTAATCAGCATTGGGGCTAAGGTGAGGAGGAGTGAGGCAGGCAAGAGAAACACATAAACACATTAACCATGTAGAGTGTAACTCACACCTTTCTGAGGATGAGCTTTCTGCACTTTCTACCCAGCCCAACCCCTCACCCCCATTGTCTTCTGAAATAGGTGGGAAAACAAAAGTGAATCATAATTCCTCACTTACAGTCTCTTAAAGCATTTTAATTACCATTATCTCACCAAGTCCTTATGATAATCCTATGAAAAAAGTGGGGCATGGATTTTATTCTCATTCTATAGCAGAGGATGCTGAGACTCAAGAAGACTAACGTGCTCATAGCCATGTAACTACTAAGCAGTAGAACCAGGATTCAACCTCAAGGTTCTGAGTCCAAAACCTGGGTACTTTCTATTTTATTATAAATTGTTCCTGGACTATGTGGAGAGCAAAATCAGAATTCCAAAGCTAAGAATCTTCATTAAAAAATTGAAATTTTGATAAATTAATATATTCCCTATGGCTTCCTCTGCTGACCAAAAATTAAACTACAATCATTGATACAGACATTCTTTGTTCCGCTAGACCATTAATGCATTGTCATCTTTCCTAGGGAACCAAATGAATACCAGCTAAAGGAAAGATTTCTCATTAAACATGGCAGATCAACCCCCAAAATGACCTCCTTTCCTTCCTTAAACCCACCAAAATAATAGTATAGGAAAAAAAAAAAAGATATAAATCCACAGAGAAACAAAAGCAGGAGAAAAAAACCTTGATAGACAAGAGATTTCAATAAACTTTAAAGTAAATTTTTAAAGAGATAAATTTTAAAAAGGAGGAACTGAACTAGCAGACCATAAGACACAGCACAAGTGCCTGTTGAGGGGATACCAATGAGAACTGGTCCAGGATTTCGAGGTACCATTTATCACAGAAGACTGGGCTGAGGTATGGAACTAAAAACTGGGGAACTGATACATATCTATATAGAGAGTAGTCTATTGACCCCCACACTCCAAAAGCAGCCAAGTGACTTCTCCCCACGTCTGACCCAGAATACAGTAAGTTTATTCCCTATAGAAAATGAATGAGAGTGGCTCTGGATTAGAATACACCAGACACACCAGAGGTAGGGAAGCGACACAGCCCCCTTCTCTTGCCTTGATCCCAGAATGTTGGAAGCTAGGGATAAACCCTCCAGTTAGGAGACTGGAGGATTTTTCTCTGGAGATACTAAATGACTCCAGAGAAAAGACTTACAGATTCTGACATTTAGGGAATCCCCCAGTAAAAACATCGACTCGTGGACCTATTATTCTGAAATGAAGCCAGTGGTATGCTGGAGCCAGCAGGATGAGCTCATGAAAGCTAATTATATGCATTTCTTCCCAATTTTGCACTTGGTGACATGTTAATAGTTTAATATAGGGCATAGTGGGGATAGTTATACTACAGAAATCAGGATACACTGAAAATCAGGGTCTTCTCCACAGAGCTGGTTGTTAAACATTTACCAGTATATTATTGGACAAAGCTCATCAGTCGATAAGTTTTGCTTCAAATCAGCTTTTTAGTGGCTCATTCTTAAGAATGGATAGTTAGGATCAACAGACATTTGAAGAAAGTCTCTAACGCAAAAAAGAAAATATAACAAACAAACCAAAGAGAAAAAAAGGGACACAGAGGAAACAAAGACAATGCAAGGAAAAGAAAAAAAATGTAAAAAAAAAAAAAAAAAGTAATTAATATCCTCAGAAAGAAAGATAACATATTACAATCAAAAAATAAGAGTGGTTTAGGGAAATAAAAAAAGGACAAATTAGTCAACAAGAAGCTTGAGAAAATTAAAAATTTTATATTAAAAAAAGTTAAAAAGATTAGAAGATAAACTAAGGAAAACCTCAACCAGCAGAACTTAGAATTATAAAGAGATGAAAAATTGGAGAGAAAAAAAACCAAAAAAACCTAAGAGGATCAATGCAGCACATCCAATATTCCACCAATTGTCATCCCAGAAAGAATGAACAAAAAACTGAGAAGAAAGTATCAAAAAAACTAATATAAGAAAATAGAACTCGTCTATGGCCATGCCACCCTGAACAAGTCCGATTCCGTCTGATCTTGGAAGCTAAGCAGGGTCGGGCCTGGTTAGTACTTGGATGGGAGACCACCTAGGAAGATCAGGTGCTGTAGGCGTAAAAAATAAATTAATTAATTAAATAAAATAAAGAAAATAGAACCCTCATACACTGTTGGTGGGAATGGAAAAGGATACAGCGCTTTGTAAAAATAGGCAGTTCCTCAAAAGAACACACAGGTATCATATGACTCAGCAATTCTACTTCTAGGTACATAACCAAGAGAAATGAAAACATGTCCATGTAAAAACTTGTACATAAATTTTTAAAAAAGAAAAGAAGGAAAAGCAAACAAAAAAGTTGCACATGAATGTTCGTGGCAACATTATTCATAATAGCCAAAGAGTAGACACAACCCAAATATCCATCAACTAATGAGTGGATAAACAAAATGTAGTATAGCCACATAATGAAATATTATTCAGTCATAAAAAAGAATAAAGTATTGATACCTGCTAAAACATAAATGAACTCTTAAAATATTATGCCAAGTGAAAGAAGGCAGTCACAAAAGACCACATATTATGATTCCATTTATTTGAAATGTCCAGAATAGGCAAATCTATAAAAAATAGAAAATATATTAGTAGTTAGTTGCCTAGGGCTGTGGGGTCTGGGTTAAAATGTGGAGTGACTGCTAATGGGTATGGGTTTCTTTTAGGGATGATGAAAATGTTCTAAAATTGATTGTGTTGACAGCTGCACAACTCTGAATATACTAAAAACCACTGAACTGTTTCGAATGGGTGAATTTTATGGTATATGAATTATATCTCAATAAAGCTGCTGCCCCCCCGCCAAAACCACACATATACTAAAAAAAAGACCAAAAAAAAAAACCAAAAAAAAAAAACAATGATGATAATGTTTTTACAACCTGCATTTTCTTTCCTTATCATTACATATTACTCAGCAAAGGCAAAAACAGAAACAAAAACAAAAATGTACAAAATCATCCTAGACTGAGCCACACAAGTCTCTAGTATAAAAGAAGCCTCCAAGAACTTGGCACAACAAATGAAAAAAAGATACATACTAAAGCTCATATGAAAATTCATGAAAATGCAGGAAAAATATAAGACCCTAAAAGGATCAGGATCAGAATAGCATAAGAGTTCTTCACAGATTTTTAGATGACGATAGAGCAATTCTTTCACAATTGAAAGGAAAAAACGATTTCCAAAAGAGAATTCTAAACCCAACCAAACTAAAAATTACATGAGGTTAGCATGTAGATATTTTCAGACATTTACATCTATCTTTCGTAGAAAATAACAAAAAATGTGCTCTAACAAAAAAAGGAAATAAATAAGAAGAAGATATGTGATCTAGGAAACAAGAGATCCAAAGAGAAAAGGAAGACTCAGGAGGGGTTTGTGCAAGTGGCCTAAGATTAATCAGACCACGAAAAAATGGAGTTTTCTGTAACTGAAATCTTGGTGGAGAGGAAGATGATCCAAACCAATAAATTATTTTTCCATTTGGAAAACCATGTTGATAGGTGTATAACAGAGCTGAGAGTAGAAGCAAAATAAAAAAGGCATAAAGGAAACTAATAAAAATGAGTCAATTATCAACTTAAAGAAAATAAGTTATAGAAGAAAGGAAACGTAATCATAGACATGACCTGGCTCAGTGGTGAACAATATTTATATCATATAGTCAGAATAATGTAAATACCAATTTGAGTTAATAAAAAATTGTGACAAAACTATATTGGAAAAAGAACTATTGGAAAATAAAGAGTGTATAGCATGTATGTGACTGGTTTAACAAAATTCTCATCTGCCATAACAGGAAGTCAAAATTAATGAAACAAAGAATATCATTTTAAGAATATGGAGGAATATTCTAGAAACAATTTGTTGAAAGTGATTGCCTATGAGCAGCAGACTATGCCCTTCTGACAGGCAACACTAGCAGCATCTGTTAGGTATAAAGTGGTAGGCATTCTCCTAGGTAATTTGTGTAAGTTATTCCATGGAGCCTTCACAATAACCCTGTAGATAAATAATATCATACCCTACCAACATAGGAGGAAGCTGAATCTCTGAAAGCTTAAATGATTTGTCCACAGATACAAATCTGGTAAGTGGCAGAGCCAAGATTCAAATTCAGATACGTCTGCCTCTTAAGTCTGTGCTCTTAACCACTATTCTATACTGGCTCTCAGGGAAACAGTCTCTGGGGTACCCAACGCCACCTTACCTCCTCCACATCTTCATCCAATTGCTCATTAGGATCCACTTCTCTTACTAAGTCTTGCAATTTCTTCTTGGTCAATACCTGAAGTTAATTGAGAGAAGAGTTTTCAGCAAAGTATCAAGGAAACAAAAAAACACAAAACTCATTACTCTATGATGAAGAAAGGCTGTCAATTTGTTGGTTTTAGTTTCTACCTTCCAAAGAGTTAACAGTCCGGCCAACCTGGTGGACTTGCTACAAGACTACACTCTCAAGACAGAAGTAGCCTAGAGAAAGGTAGAAAGAGCAGCCATCTATCAGGCAGTTTATTTTAGCCTCTTCGTTTTCTCACTGTGACTCACTTTCTCTCTACATTAAATAATTTGCAATTTTCTGACCGTCGCAAATGGTACAGAGCCTTTGACATGCTCTTCTACCCTTCTTTCTACCTGCTCAGCTCAGAGTGCCTCCTTTCTAATGCTTTTCCTAGCCCACCCAGGTAAAAGCAATAGCTTCTTCCTTCTTCCACTTCTTCTGCTGTACCTTGTGTACCTTTCCATCATTGTCTATATGTATAAACTTGCTTGTTTCTGACTTAATAGGCTGGAAGCTCCCTGAGAGCAGAGAACATGTGTTCATCTTTCTATAACTAATATTTGTATATGCATGTACAATGATGATCTCCCTTTCATAAAGGAAAAGTCATGTCATATATATATGCCATTAGAAAATGATCAAAAGATATACACTAAAATGCTAACCACAGTTATCTTGGGGTGGTGGTAGAATTATTGGCTATCGATTTCTTTCAGTTTTTGTAACGTTTCTGGAATAAACATGTGGAACTTTGGAAATAAGGAAAATATCAAATAATCTTTAAAATAAATATTTGTTAATAATGTCTCAGATCTATCTATTCTTCTCCATTTCACCAATATCACTTAATTCAAGCCTTCGCCACATATCTTGATTTTTTGCAGAAGTCTTAGACTTGGTCTTCCTCTCAGTCTACTCCCTTTTGTACCTTTCTTGTCTCCTCACTGCCAAGTTAATCCTCCTAAGACATACTACTTTCATTATATTACTCTAACTCCTCTATTAAATATTTGAAAAAATTGTTTACTAACTAAAACTTCCAACGGAAATTGATTAGTATAAGTCCAGTATGTTCTGCTGTAATCCTGCCTATACAATTTTATCTCCTGCTTTTTTCCAATAAACTCTACATTCAACATAACCTGGTCTCCTGGCTTATCTGCCCAACCCTCCCCATTTACCTTTGCTAGTCCGTCCCCACATTCTCTTGAAATATTGTTTCCTCATCCTATTCTACCCAGCCTATGAGGCCCAAGTTGAGATTATATTTATTTCTTATTTCTTGTGGCTCTGGAGGACAGAATCAGGATGATGGGTAAAAAGAGGGGGGCAGATTTTAGAATCACTGCTGAAAATTAATAATGGTAGCATTTGGATAAACTAGAAAGAGAAAAGACTAGAGGCAAGAGTATTTTATTATAAGAATAATGAATAGTGAATCCATCATTTTGCTGTTTAACTATTTTATTTTATTGAACAATTATATAGCATATATAGATCTATATATAAATATATAAAAACCTGTCAGAGGCGAGGTGTTGTGTTAGTATGTGTATATGAATGTATGGTACATAAGCATATGAGCATACACACACACACATAAATACCACAGGTAAAATTTGATAAATACTGTACATGATAATTCAATGAAGAACTTTAGAAGTCCAAAGGAGAGAAGAGACCTTCTTTTTCAGCTGAGAGAAAGAGGCAGCATCTGAGATGAACATCTCTCAAAGCATTACTAGTTTAAATAACAGGTAAGAGGTGACTACGAAGACCAAAAAGAGGATGATACCTGATTGTTTTCGGGACTGAGACGCCCTCCTGACCCAGGAGTGCCTGGTATCTTTACCACGGTAGTGCTGTTGGCCATGGAGCCTTGTGGAGGGGTGCTGGCTGGTTCTGGTTTTATGGATGAGAAATTGGAGAGGTTGATTAGGGCTGAGGGGCCAAACTGGTTCATAATCTGCCGAGCTTTGGACTTCAGCTCATAGAGCTTATCAAGATCTTGTTTCTTTTTGGAGGTATGAGGACCAAGGCCAATCAACTGTGGAAGGAAAACATGAGAATTAGCTCCAGAGGCACCTGTAATAAACGATGAGTTTTGAAAGTAAAATTATATGAGGTCTGTCAGACTTTGAAGAGTCTTCATTTTATCAGGGATAGTGACCGTTTGATACCTGTACATTAAAAATGGAGGGAATGAAGAATATTCATTGCTCTCACCTGATATTTAGAAACCATTTCTTCTCCAAAAGCTAAATGAAATAGTCCACAAAATTGAAATAAGGAAAAAGTAAATGAAATGAGGAATCGTATACCAAAATAAACTAGAATGAGCAAGCCATTTTTGAAGACTTTGTAAAACAGAATACATGGTTAAATATACATGCATTATTTTTGAACAAATAATGTTAAATTCAAATAAATCGTGGCACAGTCACATACTTAAATCTCAACCACAAAACTTCAGAAAACAGATTAGTTCATTTTGGCATTTCGAAACATGCTTAAATCTATGTCAGGCTATGCCTAATAAACACAATTTCTAGCAATTGTTAAAAGTAAAATCTTTGTCATCAAGGGCAAATTTTCTCTGAGCGTTAGCAATCTTTAGGAACATGCAGAGTCCTTAGCCTGGAGCAGCTGAGACTCCTAAATTTTAGAGCCATGAGGTTGAATCTGTGGACATCAGCAGTGGTGCCGTCAAGATCAGAAGCACATTCACCAAGTTCCTCCCACAGTGACCTCAAAGAGCTTACTTACAGCTATCTGAGTGTCTAGATCTTTAATTACATCAGCAACGGCTGTGAGCCCGGTGAAATGAGAGGCAGCCATTTTCAAAAGCTACCTGTAAATGAACAACTGGCATCAAGCACCACCCTTGCCACAGGATAATGTCAGTTCCATGACCTGGCACATCTTCATCAACCAGGATCCAGGCAAATTGAATACAAAGAAACATATCTCCTTATCCCTCCTAGGAGATAAACTTTTAAAATTAATGATGATTTTAATAACAGACTCTCATCCTATAAAATGAATAACACACTTATTGTTAGGGATAAACTAGCAGCATATGCAACACTTTATTGGCCAAAGTTGTGAAATTTTAACTTGCAGGAATCATCGCAATGGTTTTCAGAACTTGCTAAAGCTTCGCAACCTGAATGAACATCTGCATCTGTTCTACTCTTGCCCCTATTGCTGAGTTCCTCCCCAACGCTGTCTAATATGGCATCTTCCTCTTGTTCACCTTTAATAAAAGTAACTAACGGCCATGGTTAAATGACCAAGAGAAATTTTTTGGCTAAGAGCCGGCTGAGGGGGACAGCAGAGGATGAGGATCACTTGTTTTTTTTAACCACATTTGGGCCGTGCCTCCTCCCTTGCCCACAAATGCTACCATTGGAAGAATCAGGATAGGAAAAGATTCTTAACATAGTAATACTGTAGTCTCCCCTTATCCAAGGTTTTGCTTCCTGTGGTTTCAGACAACCACAGTCCAAAAATATTATATGGAAAATTCCAGAAATAAGCAATTTGTGAGCTTTAAATTGCACACTCTTCTGAGTAGCATGATGAAATCTTGTGCTGCCTCGCTCACTTGTGCCTGGGTGGTGAGTCATGCCTTTGTCTAGCATATCCATACTGTATATGCTACCTGCCCGAGAGTCGCTTAGTAGCCATCTGGGTTATCAGATTGATTGTTATGGTATCACAGTGCTCATGTTCAAGTAGCTCTTCTAGTAGCCTAATGCTATGTTACAATGCTTATATCATTCACCTCACTTCATCTCATCACATAGGCATTGTATCATCTCCTCTCACAATATCACAAGAAAGGTAAGTACAGTACAATAAGATATTTTGCGAGACCAGTTGCATAACTTTTATTACAGGATATTGTTATAATTGTCCTATTTTATTGCTACTTATTGTTGTTAATCTCTTACTGTGCCTAACTTATAAATTAATTTTTATCATAGGTATGTACGTATAGGAAAAACATAGTATAAATAGGGTTTGGTAGTATCCGTGGTTTCAGACATCCACTGGAGGTCTTGGAATGTATCCACTGGGGATAAGGGGGGATGACTGTAGTTGTTCTAATGTTATAAAAGCAAACTATTTTTCCCAGAGCAAGTTCTATGAAAAAGCCTTTGATTATCAGTACGTTTACCACATCGAATATACTATACCTCTCAAATAACATTCCCACAACCTTCTAGGGCTTCTCAAATAGTACTGAATGTTGCTCAAGATAAATAGAGCAAAAAATAAATCTCTATTTTTTGGTAATAGAGATTTCTGTTTAATGGGAATTTCTATAAGACCTACAGACAAAAAATTAAGCCTATCTACACAGTAGCAAATATAAATAATCACATATCAGATGAGGAATGAACCTTAAGGAACAGCTCCAATGGCTATTAATAAAATAAGTTACTTTAATGAAATAAGTGAAACCTATATAATGTGAGAAAAATCAAAGTTTTTCCCTAAGGAACTAGACTGCAATTTATTATACTAATTGCTGAGAAGCAACAATGCTTCTGAATTTTCAATAATTCTGGATGAGTTACTTTTTCCATTAAAACAGAACAAGGCAGATGATAACCAGACATTCATTACCAGACTGATACTACTCTTAGTTTCCTAGATTGTTTTTTTATTTGGTTGGATTTAAAACATAACATATTTGGATGGGTGATGATTACATGGGTTTATACAACTGTCAAACTCATCACACTGAATATTTAAGACCTGTGAAATTTATTGTATGTAAATTATACCATAATTAGAGCAATAAATCCAATCCCTCCAAAATAGGTAAAGAATTGTATGCCTAAGTATTTATCCCCCCAAAATAAAAACTTAAGTTCCCACATGAACTTGTATACTAACGTTCATAGCATATATCAATCTGGAAAAGATAGATTATTGAATAAATGGTGGTGTATAATTGAGTATATCTGGAAAACATCTGGTTTCACATTAAAAATTTAAACATTTAAATATCTGATCGATCTGGAATGAGGGGGGTATATACATTCTTCCCTTTATACACTCCTCTATTCCAGATGGATCAAATATTTAAATTTTAAATATTAAATCACATACTTGGAAAAATATAGATTTTAAAAAAATATTCTGAAACCTAAACCTCACATTTTATACAAAAATTAACTCAAAATGGATCAAAGACTTAAATGTAAAATGTACAACTATAAAACTTTTCTAGCTAGGCAAAGACTTCTTAGATCTGACACCAAAAAATAAACAATAAAAGGAAAATTTGATAAATTGGCTTTTATCAAATTAAAAGTTTCCTGTGTGAAAGCCCACGTGGAAGGAATGAAAAGACAAGCTACAGACTAGAAAAAAATATTTTCAAACAGATTGTAAGCAAATAGTTTCAACAAAAGACTAGTATCTGGAATGTATAGAGAACTCTCAAAACTCAACAGTCTAAAAAAAAGTAACTTGATTAGAAAATGGACAAAAGATATGACCAGATATTTCACCAGAGGATATACAGATAACAAATAAGCACATGAAAAGATGTTCAACATCATTAGTCATTAAAGAAAAGCAAATTAAAATTATAATGAGATATAACTACATACCTATTAGATGGATAAAATAAAAAATAGTGACAACATCAAATGCTGGCAAGGATGCAGAGAAACTGGATCACTCATATGTAACTAATGTGAATGTAAATGGTATAGCCACTCTGTAAAATAGTTTGCAGTTTCTTAAACATCTAAGCATGTGTTGCCTCAGTGACATGAAGACTAAATGTAATATGGTATCCTAGAACACAAAAAGTATTTTAGGGGAAAGGAGGATCTGAATAAATTACAGACTTTTGTTAAATAATAATGTTTCAATATTGGTTCATTAATTGTATCAAGTGTACCATACTAATATAAGATGTTAATAATGGAGAAACTAGGTATAGGGTATATGAGAACTCTGTACTATCTTCATAATTTTTCTGTAAATCTAATTGGTCTAAGAAAAAGTTTGTTAAAAAAAAAAAGAAAAAATCTCTGATATATAAAACAACAGGGATGAATCCTAAAATATTTAAGTGAAGGAGAAAAACCCAGTCTCAAAAGAATACATACTGTATGATTCCATTTATATGAAATTCTATTGCTAGTAAAACTAATCTCTACTGATAGACGGACAGAGACTGACTGCACAGGGGCATGAAGGATGTTTCTAAGGTGATATAAACATTCTATATCTTGAGTGGGGTGATGCTTACATAGCTGCATATAGTTATCAAAACTCACAGAACTACACACTTATAATGTATACATTTTATTGTGTGCAAATTATACCTCAATAAAGTTCATTTGGAAAAAGAAAACTAAACATGCAACTACCATATGACCCACTCAGATGTCTTTCAACAGGTAAATGGTTAGACAAACTGTGGTACATCCACACCATGGAAAATTACTTAGCAATGAAAAGAAATGAACTATTGATATATACAACTTGAATGAACCTCCAGAGAATTATATGGAGCAAAAGCTAATCCAAGAAGAGTACATATTGTATAATTCCATTTATATATAACATCTTTAAAATGACAAAATTTTGGAAACAGGGGGCAGATTAGTGAGGTTGCCAAGGTGTGGATGAGAGGGAGGTGGGTATGGTTATCAGGGCAATGTCAGAGATCCTATGGTAATGGAATTGTTCAGTATTTTGACTGTAGTGATGGATAAACGAACCTATAAAAGTGATTAAATTGTATAAGACAATATACATACACACACAAAAGAATATAAGTAAAACTGGGGAAATCTGAATAAGATTGGTGGGCTGAATCAATGTCAATATCCTAGTTGTCATTTTACACAATAGTTTTGCAAAATGTTACCACTGAGGAAAATTGGGCAAAGTGTACAAGGGATTTCTCTGTATTATTTCTTGTAACTGCATATAAATCTACAATTATCTCAATTTTTAAAAATTGGGGAAAAAAATTCTCAAGAGTAACTGGAGCCCTTCTTAAAATGACCCAAAACTCAGGAGCCATAAAAGAAAAGAATGACATGTCCAACTGCATAAAAATAAAAATGTCTACACTGCAACAAACATAATAAAGGGCAAAAGACAAACTAGCAAAACGTATGCAATGCATAGCAGAAAAAAGACTAATTTCTTTTCTCTATAAAAAATTCCTACAAATCAATAAACATCCAACCACCCAAAAGAAAAATTGCAAAAAATATGGTAGTGTAAGAAAAAGAAATTCAAATAGCTCTTAAAATAATGAAATGATCCTTATTCTCATTCACAATAAAAATGCAAACTAAAACTACAAGCTATCTCTTATTCCTCATTTGGAAACAATGAAAAAGTTTTATATATACTGTGTTTGAATATATTATGGAGTCATTTCATGTGTTGTTGGGATGAAAAGAATATAAATCAGCTAGAGGTCGCTACAAAGGGCTACTTGGCAGTATCTACCCAAATTATAAAAGTATGTATTGTTTTGATCCAATAGTTTCATTTTTAGCAATCTATATTCTAGTTGAACTTGTATGTGATAGAACACTACACATACAAGGAGTTTCGACCTAAATGTCCATCAAAAGTGATACTGTTAAACAAATTAGGGTATAACTATATAATGGAGTACATTGCAAAAGAATGAGACTAATGAAAATATTATGCTGAAAGAAACCAGTCACAAAAGACACATATTACATGATTCCATTTATATGAAATGTCCGGAACGGACAAATATATAAAGACAGAAAGTAGATGAGTGGTCAGTCACCTAGGACTGGGAGGTGGGGGAAGAGCAATAGGGACTGACTAATAGTATGGGTTTGTTTTTAGGAAGGAAAAAATAATCTAAAATTAGATTGTGGTAATAGTTGCACAACCCGGAATACACTAAAAAACACTGAATTATACACTTTAAATTGGTGAATTGCATGATACGTCAAGGATATCTCAATAAAGCTGTTCAAAAAAAAAAAAAAAGAGAGGAAGCTCATGAAATGATCTCCAAGATACATTATTTAGTGAAAATGTAAGGTACAGATTAGTGAGAATAATGTGCTATCATTCATTAAAACACACACACAATTATAAATGTATAAATTATTCCTGGAAATATATATAAGAAACTGATAACAGTGGTTGCCTTGGGGAGTGGTAGTATCTGGGTGACCTACGGGACCAAGGTGGGAGAAGACTTACTTTTCATCGTATACCCCGAAGTTTATACTTACTTTTTATTGTATATCCCAAATTCTATACTCTGTGCATATATTACCTATGAAAAAAATTTAAAAACTATTATTTGGTTTATTTCCTCTGAAGAAACAGGTAATACTGATCTGTTTTTAAAATAAAACAAAAAAATATAGCATTAACAACAAAAATGAACCTCTCACACCTTACACAAAAATAAACTCAAAACTCATCAGATTTAAATGTAAAAATGTAAAAGTATAAAACTTTTAGGAGAAAATCTTCACAACTTTGGGTCAGGCAAAGTTCATAGATACAACACCAAAAGCACAATCCACAAAATAAATTGATAAAGTGGACTTAAACCAAAATGTAAAACTTCAGCTCTGCAAAAGAAAATGAAAAGATAAGTCACAGACTAAAAAAACGTTTACAAATCACGTATCTGACAAAGAACTTTTATCCAGGACATATAAAGAACTCTTAAAATTCAACAATAAGAAAAACAACCCAATGAAAAATAAACAAAAGATCTGAAGAAATTCTTCACCAAATACAGATGGCAAATAAACACATGAAACAATGCTAAATATATCATTAGTCATTCAGGAAATGCAAATTAAAACCACAATGAGATACCACTAAATTCCTATTAGAATAGCCAAAATTTTTAAAAATAAACAAGTGTTGGAGAGGATATGGAGCAAATGAAACCCTCATACATATTTCTGGTGTGAATGTAAAATATGCAGTCTCTTCAGAAAAGTTTGGCAATTTTTTACAACATTAAATATACACTTATCATATAATCCAGCTATCTCACTCCTAGGTATTTATCCTAGAGAAATGAAATGAAATGAAAACTAGAGACATGAGAACTTATATTCACACAAAACTTGGTATGTGAATTTTATAGCAATATTACTCATAATTGCCCCAAACTGGAAACCATTTAGATGTCCTTCAAATGGTGAATAGATAAGAAAATTATGGGTTTATCTACAAAATGGAAATACAACAAAAAGGGACTGCTGAAACATGCAACATGGACAATCTCAAATGAGTTATGCTAAGTGAAAGATGCAAGACTCAAAAGACTACTTAATGTGTGATTCCATTAACATGACACTCTGGAAAAGGCAAAGCTATATGGATGGAGAACAGATCAGTTGTTGCCAGAGGGTTGGGGTGGGGGAGGGTCTGACTACAAAGGGGTGGCATGAGGGAAAATCTGGGGGGCACGGAACTGTTAGGTAACCTGTTATGGTTGCTTACATGACAGTAAGTGCTTGTTACAACTCACAGAACCATACCCCCTAAAAGAATTTTATGGTATGTAAATTTAAAAAACAAAACTTACAACCTGATCAGAATACAGGTTGTGACTCCCCATCCAAATTACCTGTTTACTAAAAAGTTTTATCAAGCCCAACTGTGGATGATGCTGACCAAGCAGGGTAGAATGAAGTGACTGTATGTAAATAACTCAAATTCCATTATGTAAAATGCCATGGGTGCCTTTTAGCTACTCAAATTTCTAACTCTCACTTCCTTAGAATGCCAAGAAATAGGGATGTACTGCTGTGTAAAAACAGAGGTATTAACTGTGGAACAGTTTGAAAGAATAATTATAATAGTAAATCCTGACTAGTACCTATGTGGAAATCATGAGCTATGGAATTCACTAAGTCCAGAAAGGCCATGCCCCCAGTGATCTACAGTTGAAAAATGTTTAATAATTCTATCAAAATAAGATTGTATCGTCAGGAGTTCAATTAAATAGCCAAGTCTATCCTCCCTCCTCCAACCATCTCATTCAAACTGTGGTTGGATAGGTTGAGGATGACAAGCCCTGCTTTTCCTTTTAACAACTTTGTACCTCAAACAGATATCCAGTTGCAACCCTAACACTGTATTAAAAGGATCTCATTTTTCAAAAGGGTAGGAGAACCAGTGGTGAACTTGCAGTAGTTACAAGACCTGGCCTTCTCTGGGCATGTTTCATTAACATTTTTTAAGTGAAGAAAATAGGGGAATAGAAGACCAGATTGTCTTTAACGCCTTTTACTTCTGAAATGTTTAGGAATGTATTATTTAAGCAAAATACTGGAGAGAAGGGGACTACCAACCTGATGGTATAAAAGCCCTATCACTGCGCTGCATGACTTAACTTAATGAATGGATTTTATCCCTGGTTGTTTCTCTCCTCCCTGGTTCTAGCTGTAACTAAATGAGCTCATATTTCTCAGCCTAAATAAACCAAAAAGAATCAATTAATTGCAATCTGTGAGAGCTGAGAGCAGGAGAAACTGAGATTTTCTCCACTAGTTTTTGAACTAATTTGGACTAGGTTTGACTTAACACAAAGGTAGTACAGTGGTCAAGGGCATGGACGCTAGTAACAGTGTCCGGGTTCAAGTACCAACTCTGCCACTTATTAACTTTATATCTTTGAGCAAGTTACCCAACCTCTTTATGCCTCAATGTCCTCATCTGTAAAACAGAGTTAATCATAAAGTATACCTCATGAGAGTGCTGTGGCAAGTCACTAAGTTTATGTATCTAAAGCACTTGAAGAGAATGTGGTATATAGTAAGCACAGAGAACACATTCTAAACATGTTTGCTAACATTATATACACACACACACACACACATACATACATATATATATATATATATACACGCTCTCCTCTTTTAAATCTGTTATAAAAATCAGTGTGTTAAAACTAAAAGGTTTCATCCATCCTACTATGTGTTGGTGGCATCCTATAACCATTCTTATGACTACGGATATTAAAAAAAAAAGAAGTGGATTGGAAAAAAAAAAAGGTACTGGCAAATTGTCAGGAGATTGATAAGAGGTACTGTGACTCAGGAAAGACCCAAGACAGGAAGGCTGTATGCCACCTAACTTCTGCCACTGAGTTATGTGATCTCCCTTTGACCAGAGTTTCCACAGTGGGACCAGACAAGTTCTAAAGTCCCTTTCATCTTTAAAAATTAGTGTAAGATTTTAAATTAAGCCCATATGTACAAATTTCAAAGTTTGTCTTCTGCCTCCAACACACCTGTTTCACAGTGCAGACTGCATGCATTGCGGATGTATTGCCTCCAAAGTATTTTGGGGCTTTCCACAAAGACCTCGGGTCAAAAATAATATGTTCTATATTCATATCTGCTCTAACACAATGATTTTCTGATCAGGTACTTTGAAATCCTATTATAATAACTCAGTCAATGCTAAGACCACCAATGAGTGAAATAAGTACATTTTGTAATGTGGATAAGGACATTTACTCAGTAATAAATTATCATTAATTAAATCAAGTACTTTGGTATGGTGGCATGGGCACACTTCACCTCATAATTTGGTGTACGTTTTGATCACCTATGTAACAGTATAGATACCTGCAAATAGTATAGGCAAATCCATTGAGAAAAAATAGGAGTTTCAACTAAGTTAACTCAATTTCCCCAATCACCTAGTTTATTAATTTAAAGTTAATCCAATTTAAGCCCTTCAAATTGGTCTTTCTTGGCCTCCTAAATTTAAGATTAAATATATCTTACTTTATTGTGAGGAAAAGTTCTATTCAGGTCCTATTTTTCTTTCCTGAATATCTATGCTTCTTTAAAATCACAGGAATTTAGTTCTCCTTGACACCATACTATATAAGTACCCTAATAAGTTACAATACTTGACATTAAGTCTTGAGAAGGTGCTTTCATTCAATGATATGCTTTATATAACTATTACTTCTATTTTGCTGATGGACAAACTAAGACATGGAGAGGAATTCACTTAGAAAAGTAGAAAAAGGTTTTAGTCAAACACATAACTGAGTTTGACTGGGGATGGGCCACTTAGTACCATGTGATTTCAGGAAAGGTACTTAACCCCTGAATCAATCTCTTTACCTGTACAATGAGACTAACAATATCTAACTTGTGGAGCTGTGATAATTAAATGATATAATACTTGAAAGTGCTTATGATGGTGCTTGGTTAGCCTGAGTAGGTTTCAGTAAAAGGTATTACTGAAGGGAAGTGACTGTTCTAAGTCTCCCTGCCAACCTTATCTAAAAGCAGCCATCTCCAGTAAATGCTTATGTTAAAAAGGCAGGATACAGCTTACTTACCTGCAACTTTCTAAATGGCTTACTATATTTTTGGGGGGAGGGATAGGCTTTATTTAAAGGTTTCCTAACTAGTAGTGACAGTCACTGTATCAATGTCAATACAGTAACGAGACTCAAAATAAAGTAATAGAATCTGTAAAAATTTCCCTCTTGAGTGTGAAGTGAGAGCAAAAATTCTAGAAGCATGTTTTCAAGGGGTATTAACCAAGCATTATCTCCTATTTCCTATGTATAGGAGGGTACTGTATCAAAATCATGATATAATCAATCACTGTAATCTTAAGCCCTCTTTGGACCTTAGCCTCTTTACATGTAAAATAGGAATTTAAAAAAGAATATCTTTTTTCCGGCCCTTCCATCTCTCACAGTCTTTTATTTGAGATGCACGGATCTGTGCTCCATCAGGGTTGAGTGGAATGGGATTTAAAGCACTTGTCAAGTATACACTGAGTTCGAACTGCTTCAACTTCACATCCGAACTTCACAAGAATGAAGCAGAAAATGAAGGTGACTGCATGTGGACTTCCTAGATGAAGTATCTGACACAAGAAAAGCCTGCCATAAGCCAAACAGGCAGCGCGAAGGAGGAGTTGTCTTTCCCCGAATACATCCTTTAGCACTCTGGGTTCAGAGAACATGAGGAAAATGGATCACTATATCTTTTCCAAACTCTCTCTTTTTCTCTTAGAGGCTGATCTCACAGCCACGGTCCCTTATACTCTCCGCTTTTAGGAGTTCGGGTCCTCACAGCCCAGGTCCCTCAGGTACTTGAGTCTCCAAGCCCCGATCCTGTCCTCACAGGAGCCCGTTTTCACTGCCCGCTCCTGTTTCTCCCAAACCCAAATGTTCTCTTACTGCTTCTGCTCAAGGATCTAAGTTTTCGCTGCTGTTTCTGAATCCTTAGGAGCCCGTGTCTTCACTGTCCCGCTTCTGCCTCTTAGGCGCCCAAGTCCTTACAGCTCCGCTTTTACCTCTCAGGACCCCGTGTCTTCACGCCCCGTTCCGTTCCGACCCTCTCCTCTTAGGAGCGCGGGTCCCCACAATCCGGTCTACTCTTAGACTGCTTTTCCTCAAGTGACGGAGAACTCAGCCGTTCCCGTTCCTTAAGTCCCCGTCTGCAGCCCGGGTCCCCACAGCCGCGTCTTCTCCGAGCCCCGATCCCCTCAGTCCCGTCCCAAGAGCCTGATTCCTCAAAGCCCGGTCTCCTCCACAACCTGGCTCTTCAAACACTGACCCACTGTGGGTCTGGGTCCTGACTCCCTCCTCCCGCTCTTCTTCCTCAACTGCCAGGGCCCAAGACTCACAGGCAGCAGCGTCTATCTCCCCATGATATGCGGAGACTGCCCCAGTGAAGCGATCGTCTCAGCAGCCGGTCCGACTGCTCGGCCCTCCCCGAGTACTTCCGGCACCGCTCCCCGCCTCCAACCCGGAAACGCGCGGCTCTTCCGGCCGGCGGGCGCGCGCCTAGTTTGCGCAAGCGCAGTCTGCCCTCGGACACGTGGTCGCAGGTCTGGGTTGTTGCTGATCTCCTGCAGTTGGGTTTTTTCCTCTTTGTGGTTGCCTGCAAGTTTGGGCGAACTCTGCGCCTTCTACCCTGGTGTTAGGTGCCCTGCCCTAGCCGTTTCTTCCCGACTGCGCCTGTCGTATATATCGGTACCGTGACCGGTAATTGACTCCCTCTGATGGCTTAGAAGTCGCCATTTTTGGTTGGTGTCTTTGTTGCGATGGCAGAACGGGGATATCACCTGAGACAGTAGGTATCCTATTGGACCCCAACAGGGGAGTTGGCAGCACAAGAACCGGGAGACTAGAGAGACCAGGTTGTGCCTGTGAATTGGCAATTAATAATGATGATTGAGCGCTTACTATCAGGAACTTTGCCAAGCCCCTCACCTCCAATAAATCATTTAATGATTTAAAGGAAACCTGTAGAGATAAAGCAGGGTCCTAGCTAATAAGTGCTGAGTCTCAGCTTGAACTCAGAATTCTCACTCCAAAATCGAACCAGTCTTCTCACCATTAAAATGATTCCGTTATTTCATCCGTCACATGTTTGGTGGGAACTGCTGGATTTACCAGATGCTGGGCATGGAACTCGGTTCCAACCTAAGTCCATCTGGAGCCTGGGTCCCCAAACTAAGATGGAGAAACATAAAGGAATGTAAAAAGGGCTGTGATAGCCGGGAACAAGTGCCAACAGGAATCAGGAAGGGCTGCCTCCCACCTGGATTGGTGCACCAACTTGCCCTCCATGTCTTTATATCTTCCCATCCTTATCCCACGAAATTCTCAGTCCACCTTTACACTGCCACCAATCCAAATTCACAAAATCGAGGTCCCTTCACCATTAGGCTCCAAGCCATCTTCCTAGTCTTACTGCCCTGTCACTGCTGTCTTCATTCTCCTAATAGTCTAGCATACCATTTTTTATTTTTGCACTCTTATCCACCTTTTTAAGACCCAGTCTAAATACATTCATTCAACAAATAGAGTGCTGTTGTGTGCCAAACTTTTTGCTAGGTGCTGGGTATCTATTAATGACTCTCTTAATATCCTTAAGAGAGTTTACAATCAAGTGGGAAACGAACCACTAGCAAATAGACAAAAATGTAAAGGATGGGAATACTAGGATAAACTAGATTTATCTAGCTGGTTAATGTAGGCCCTGAGCTAGAAAGAGCTTATTTAAGGTCCAAGGATGGCCAAGGTGGCTAGGCGATGGGGAGAGTGGCCTGCAATGAGGTTAGATAGGCAGGCAGGGGTCAGCTCAGGCAGGATCTTGTAGGCCATGGTGCGGACATGGGATTTTATTTATTAGCAATGGCAAGGCATTGGAGGGTTGAACAGGCATGAAATAATTTATTTTTAAGAGGTGATTTGTGACTTATAGGAAGAGTCCCCAACAGACACAATTGACAGTGCCCATATCTAGGCTTCCCACCTCTTTCTATTTACACACATGCTTCCTACTGTAGGCTGTTTACATGACTCCCTCTTTTTCAGCTTATACTTTGTAAAGGTCAGAGACCTCCACATATTATATTAAAGAAAGTAAAATGCCTGACGTCTATTTTTTTTTAAATCTATGTATATGTACATAAAAAATAGTCTGGCAAGATAAACACTAAACAAGTTTGGGGAAAGCATTGTTACAATTCTGTACTGTTTCGATTTCTTTACAATTAGTACCTATTTTTATATTAAAAATGAAGTATCTGAATTATTCCATTAAATTTTTTTCTATTACAGTTGACATGCAATATTAGTTTCAGGTGTACAGTGTAGTAGTTAGACATTTATATAATTTAAGAGGTGATCCTTCCATAAGTCTAGTACTCATCTGACGCCATACATAGTTATTACAATATTACTGACTATTCCCTAAGTTATACTTTACATCCCATGGCTATTATGTAACTGCCAATTTGTACTTTTTCATCCAGCCCCTCAGCCCTCATCACAAACTATCAGTTTGTTACCTGTATCTATGAGTTTGTTTTATTTGTTTATTTTTTAGATTCCACATATAAGGAAAATTATGTGGTATTTGTCTTTTTCCGTCTTATTTTACTTAGCATAATACCTTCTAGGTCCATACATGTTGTTGTAAATGGTAAGATTTCATTCTATGATTCCATTTTTTATGCCATTCTGGAAAAGGCAACAGTTTGGGGCCAGAGAAGATTGAGAAAAGGGGAGGGGTGACTAGAAAAGAGGACAAAGGAACTTTTGAGGGTGATATAAATGTTTGATATTTTGACTGTGGTAACAGATGAACGTCTGTATGAGTTTGTTAAAACTCATAGAACTGCATAAGAAAGGTGAACTTACTGTATGTAAATTACATCTCAATAAGCCTGACTTTAAAAATTGAAATAAATGGAGAAAATATAGAAAGCGAGGACTTTTAAAATATTTTTAATTACACACGTAATAAAATTACACAATAATCCATTATGCTTTTTAAAAAATTAGAACGTTACTGGTCAATCTAAGTCCTGTGTGTAATAGCTCCCATCCAGATTCCTTTTTTTTCCTAAAGAGTATTCACCGATGTGTGTTCTTCCAGATGTTTTTTTTATTAATATATACAATATGGGGCCGTAGAAAACGTATAACACTAGGTTTACTGTGCACACGTGTACGCTCTTTATTACATTAATAGTATCATGCGGTACACTATTTACCAGCCCTTTCACCCAATTTTTTTGTATGTGTCGATACGAGATTTACTTCATTCAAAGTGTAGTATTGCTTTTTTTCTTCGTTAATGGTATGCTGTACCTTATTTTGTAACTCTTAACAGTGTTTTCTTTTTTTTTTTAATGTCTCATTCACTCCATGAAAGTGCAGCAGACAGCATTCCACTGTATGAACACACCACATTCTGCTAATCTGTAGTTGTAATGATGGAAGATTAGGTTGCTCTGTTTTTCGCTGGTATAGTGATCCTGTGCCTCCAGTGCTCGCTTCCTGGGACGGCTTCAAGGTGGACGGCTAGAAATGGCACAGGCTTGTGCCTTTTCAATTTTAATAGGGTGGTATACGTGACTTCCCCGGACAGGTACCCACGGCCCCAGAGGAGCAGGATTTACCACGCATCCGACTGCAAGAACGACCCTCCCATCTGCCCCGCGGTCTACTATAGCGCAGAAGGCGCCTCGGTTCCCTCCCGCGACCGCTTTCCCCGCCTCTCCTCTTGCACCTCCCCCTAACCCCCGCACCTTCCCAGCAAGCACTGCGCTATTTGCATATCGACTTCTTTTTTTCTCTAATAAATAAAAACCAAAAGATAAATCATCGTGTCCTTGTGAAGAATTTCCTCTGGCTCTGAAGGTATTGAAATTTCCTCCTCAACTTCAGGAACATGAGATAAGAAATTTATATGGTTTTTTTTTTCCCACCCTTACCGTAATAGGGATTCCCCGACACTGCCACTCTGTTCTAGATAACATAGAAGCAAAAAGGGCTTCTGTCGTGAGTGGCACACGTAGGGCAGCTTGGTTGCTCTTCGTGCGGAATCGACATCAAGAGATTTCGGAAGCATAATTTTTTGGTACTTGGGCAGCTAGTGATCGTTGGTCCTGGCGCCCTTGGATTTGAGTGCAAAAGACAGTAGAGCGACGACTTGGCTTTACTTGGCTTTACTTTGGAATGAGGTTCATTCGAGGGCACGTTCCTTTACACAGCCAGAAAAAATGTCAATTCTTCCAGGTGTAATGAAATCATGATGTAAAACTTCGACTTTGTGAAAATTTCTCCCTTTTACCAGGCATGCATATTCCTTCCTGAGTTATTCTTTCTATAATTTTTGTCCATTGAAAACATAGGGGCAATAGTTTAAAAGACTAAACAGCCTTCTCTTAACTGCTGGCGACAACCTTTCTGGACGGGAATTCAGCAATAGATATTTCATCAGCAATAGATATTCCATCTCCTAGGTATGATGTTTAAGAAATTGTGTTCCAACTATTTATGGACACTGAAATTTAAATTTCATATAATTGTCACATATCACAATAGTATTCTTTTTTTAATTTGTGTGTGTGTGTGCGCGTGTGTCAACCATTTACAAATATAAAAATCATTCTTAGGTTCTCAGGCAGTAGTATAGTTTACTGGCCCCTGGCCTACACATTCAAGAGCAATAAGAGCCCAGTCAAACCAACTATTGGATACCCACAAATGGAATACTGTGCACTCATTAAAATGTTGAAATAGAAGCATTTATGGTAATGGTTCACTTCTATGGAGTACTTATCAAGTGCCAGGCCCCGTATTAAGCATTTAGTATGCATTAGCTCCTATAAATCATAAACTGTTGAGGTAGATAGTAGTAGTATACTCACTTTACGAATGAGAAAACAGAAACTCTGGGAGGCCCAGATCACAGAACCAGAAAGCAGCTAGAGGTGAGCCTAGGCCTTCTGACAGAAATGAGTTACTCTGACTACACAGAATACCCAAGGGGAATGTCAATTATACTGGAATCTGTTAGAGGGGAAGATTTATTGGGGAAGTGAAGTTTTTTCTCCTTTTGCTTATTCATATTTTCTTATTAAATATGGAGTACATGAAAAGGTTAGAGAAATAATGAGGATACATAGGCACTGGAATACCAATGATGAAAAATAAAATCAGATTCAGAAAGAAGCCACTCTTAAAAGGCCACATATTATGAGATTCCTTTTATAGGTAATGTCCAGAAATGGCAAAAATATAGAGGCAGAAAGTAGAATTAGGGGTTGCCTAGGGCTGTAGGTAGGAGGAGAGATTGACTACAAATGAGCATGAGGGATCCTTTGGGAGGCGAAGGAAATGTTCTTAAACTAGATTGTGGTGAGAGTTGCACAAGTCTATAAATCTACTAAAAATCATTGAATTGTACATTTAAAATGGGTGAATTTTA